GAGCCTCCTGCTGCTGGTGCGGGTGAGCAGGCGGGACGCCCCCCGCTGCCCCCAGCCCCCGCTCGCAGGCCTGACCCCCGCTGCGCTCCCGCAGGACACACAGGAAGAGAACGCCCAGCCCAGCCATACGGCCACAGCCACCCTGGTCCTGGATGTGCGGCCCGCTGACCTCCGGCCCCCCTGGTTCCTGCCCTGTGCCTATTCAGACCTTTATGTCTGCATCAACGCTGAGTACCAGGGGGCCGTCCCCACAGGCCACAGACTGGTACTGGAGGTGGAGGGGGCGGGGGGAGTGTGGGCTCGGGGCCCTGCGGCCGGGCCAGAGCCCCTGGGGACCCGCTGAAGTGGGCCGCCTGCCCCAAGAGGCACCCCAAGGTGCCGGGAGCAGCAGGGCGGACGCGGGCTCCAGGCCCCCACGGTACCGATCTCGTGTACCGAGCGCAGCCTCTGTGTGACCGCTCCCTGTCCCTCCTGGGGCCCCGTCGCTCAGATCAATCCGAGGTCTTTGCGCAAATTCACCCCTACGGGGCATGCTCAGCAGCCATGTGGGGAATGGGGGCTGCGCTGGGCCCCACTTGGCGGCCCCAGGTGTCTCCCCTGTCCCTGCTCCTGCAGCCAGCCCCCCTTGTCCTGCGTCCGGGGCCCATCTACGCCGTGGACGGGGATCGGGGCGTCAACCAACGTGTCCTCTACAGCATCGTGACAGGTGAGTGCGCGCCAGAGCCCTGCCTCTGCATCCTGGACCCGGGGGGACTTGCCCGTGGGCAGAGCCAGTGGGGGCCCCAGACCTCAGGCGGACGGAGCGAGAGGCCTCACCTCCCCCTATCTTCGCAGGACAAGATGATGGCACATTTGCCATCGACGCCGACTCGGGCAACCTCACCATGACCAGGAGCGTCCCCAGCCCAAAGACCTTCACGCTGCTGGTCAAGGTGGGCACCCTGGCCAGGCCTCCATGGGGCCGGGGCTTCGAGGACCTGCTGGTCGCTGAGGCCTCCCCCACCCCCAGGGTGAGCAGTCAGACGGCGCCCGCTACTCGGTGACCTGGGTCACGATCGAGGCCCGAAGTGCCACCGGCAGCGTGCCCCAGTTCCTGCAGAGCCGCTACTATGGCACCGTGGTGCGCAACTCTGCAGTGGGCGTGGAGGTCCGAGATGCAGCCAGCCCCTCCCTGCCTCTGAGGGTCTGGGCTCAGGACCCCGACTTTCCGGTAGGCACCAGCCCCTCTGTGGGGGGAGGATCGGGGGGCAGCCTGGGCCCAGGGCTCACTGCACAGTGTCCAGGACCTCAACTCCGCCATCACGTATCGCATCACCAATAACACCGACTTCCGGATGGATGGCGAGATCGTGCGGACCGCCGCCCGGCTGACCCAAGAGGGGGTTTCCTATGCAGAGGTAAGGGTGGGGGGCACCCCCAAGGGGGGGCAACGGCGGGGCGTGTGAGGGACCAGCCCCGCTTCTGCTCCAGGTTGAGGCCATGAACACCGTGACGGCAGGCACTGCCCGCTCTGTGCTGGAGATACAGGTGCTGGAGCCTCAGGAACCCGCCCCCACAGGTGAGCCCGGCTGCTCGCCCCGGTGGGGGGCGGGGGCTCCCCGGGGCGGGTCCGCTGGACAGAGGCGAGCCCGGATCCTGTCCCTGGCCCCCCAGGTTCATCAGGGCCCCCAGAAACCCCCACACCCCCAGGGGCTGGAGGAACCACCAGCCTCTCGAGCAGCACTACCTCGGAAGCCCCCAGGCCCCCGGGGCCCTCCCAGGGACCCTCTACGACCAGCTCTGGGGGAGGCGCTGGCCCACATCCCCCCACAACCACAACTCTGAGGCCACTGGCCTCATCTACGCCTGGGGGGGCCCCCAGTGTGGGAACCAGCACCTCCCTCCCATCAGCCTCACCCAGCGGGGGCTCAACACCAACACCGGAGCCAGGAACCTCTCAGCCGCTGGCCCCTGACCCCAGCAGGACCCCCCAGCCCTCAGGTAGCACCTCCCGCTTACCCTAGTCACCCTCGGGGTGGTCCCTGGGGGTCCCGGTAGGGCAGAGTCTGCCCGGGGTGGCCCAGCACGACCACGCTGACAGTGAACTCCCGAGACAGCCTGCTCTGGGCCGGGCAGGGACAGGCCCCGGGTGCCCCCGACTAGGCAGACCGGGGAAGGTGTCCGGAGCATGGGGCGGGAGCCAGATTCGGGGTCCGGGGGACCCCGCGATTCCAGGCCTTCCGTGTACCGGCCCCAGCACTGCCTTCATGGCCTTCCAGGGTGCTGGACCCCTGGCTTCCACTGGGAGCTGGTGGGCACTGACGCCCGCCCGCCCGCCCTGCCTCCTGCAGCGCGGCCTCCCCGACGGCCCCTGGGAGCAGCCAGCTCCTCGGTCGGGGGGTGAGTAGTGCCCTTCACCAGAGCCTCAGCTGTCACGTCAGGGGGTGCTGAGCCCGGGCGGGCGGCGGGGGTGCCGGGTGCCTGCAGTAGCCAGTGGCCTTGCCAGCAGGACCCGCGGAAAGCCAAGCTGAGGACCGGCGCTTCTCCGCGGTGGACATGGCGGCCCTGGGCGGGGTGCTGGGCGCGCTGCTGCTCCTGGCTCTGATCGCCCTCGTTATCCTGGGCCACAGGCAGTTCGGCGGGCGGCTCAAGTGCTGCTCGGGAAAAGCCCTGGTGAGGCCTGAGCTGGTGGGGGCAGCCCCGAGGGCCCACGGGGGAGGGCAGGAGGGGGGGCCGGCGGACGTCCCAGCCCACGGAGTGCGGAGGCAGACACAGCAAGGAAAGGAAGGGCCAGCCCGCGGCCCTGTCCCCCGGGACGGCTCCGGGGACAGTCCCAGCCCCAGCCGGGCCAGGGCCTGGGTGATACCCTGACCGTCCCCGTCTCCCCGCCAGGACCACCAGGCGCTGGCCTTCGACAACCAGGCCTTCTCGGACCCCCACGAGGCCAACTGGGCGCCGGCTCTGCGCGCCTCCCCCGGCCCTACGCGGGCGGGGCCCCCCGAGCCCCCCGAGCCCGCGCCCCGAGAGGCCTCTGGCTCCGCAGCCGCGGGCCCTGCCCCCGGCGCCCCCGAGGCGGCCCGGGATGGAGGCAGCCCCGCCGCCGTGAGGTCCATCTTGACCAAGGAGCGGCGGCCCGACGAGGGCGGCTACAAGGCCGTGTGGTTCGGGGAGGACATCGGGGCCGAGGCCGACGTGGTGGTCCTCAACGCGCCCGCCCCCAACGCGGCCCGCGCCCCCGACTCGGGCAGCGAGCACAGCGGCGACGGGGACGACGAGGACGGGGAGCCTGGCGGGGGCTCCACCTACGTCTAGCCCGGCGCCCCCCGCCCCCCGCCCCCCGCGCCCCGGCGCACAATAAAGTCACAGTGTCCAAGCTCGGCCGCGCCCCCCCCCCCCCGTCCCCCGGCAGCTCCGCGTCCCGCTTCCCGTAAACCACCTGCCTCCGCGGGACTTCCGGGCTGGAGCCAGCTGGCGGCCCAAGTTCCTCTCCCGGTGTGACCGCGGTCGCACCCTGCGCGGCGGGGGCCCCCCTTCTTTGCCTGGGGGCCGAGGGGCCCCCCTCGGGAACAGTACTCTGGAGGGCAAGGTCCCGGGCCTGCGGGGCGCAGCGGCCGCAGGGGTGACAGAGCCCCTCTGGGGGCCTCCTCAGGGGGGGGACCTCCCTGACCCTCGTGGGTCCTCCGCGCTTTTCCTGATGAAAAGGCATCCCCAATGCCCTTCCAAATGTCTTAGTCTTAGGGGCATGTGAATGTTCTTGTCTGGATAATTCTCATTAAGAATCCAAAAGCCGGGCAGCCCCGGTGGCGCAGCGGTTTAGCGCCGCCTGCAGCCCAGGGCGGGACCCTGGAGACCCTGGATGGAGTCCCACGTCGGGCTCCCCGCATGGAGCCTGCTTCTCCCTCTGCCTGTGTCTCTGCCTCTCTCTCTCTCTTTCTGTGTGTCTCTTATGAATAAATAAAATCTTAAAAAAAAAAATAATCCAAAAGCCACCGAGTGGGGGCGCCTGGCTGGTTCCGTCGGTTCCCTGGGGACACTGGATTTCTGCTCAGGTCGTGATGTCAGGGTCCCAGGATCCAGCCGGGGTGGGGGTGGGGGTCCGCACTCAGGGAGAAGTCTTCTTGGGGACCCTCTCCCTCTGCCTGCCCCCGCCCCCAGCCCCCCAGTCTGCAGCTGTCTCTCAAATAAATATTTTTTTAAATTTTTTTATTTATTTATGAAAGTTACACAGAGAGAGAGAGAGAGAGAGAGAGGCAGAGACACAGACAGAGGGAGAAGCAGGCTCCACGAACCGGGAGCCCGAAGTGGGATTCAATCCTGAGTCTCCAGGATCGCGCCCTGGGCCAAAGGCAGGCGCCAAACCCGCTGCGCCACCCAGGGATCCCTAAAAAATAATAATCCCAAGAGGCCACCTAGATGGCCGAGTTGGTTGAGCATCCCACTCTGATCTCAGCTCCGTTTTTTTTTTTTTAAAGATTTTATTTATTTATTCATCAGAGACCCAGAGAGACGCAGAGACAAGGGCAGGAGGAGAAGCAGGCTCCCCGCGGGGAGCCCGATGCGGGACTCGACCCCCCCGGGGTCAGGCCCGGAGTCCGGGGCACTTCCGTCTGTGGACCGGCCAGTGGGCTCCACTCTGGGCCCCCTCTACTTAACACTAAAAGAGAACCTGAACTATAGGGCTGCCACTTGCCCCACGTCCTCCTTCAACACCCACTTTCCTGGAAAAAAAAGTCTGGTTCTGTGTGGGGTCTTCAGCTGAGGCCCCGGTTGGTTGCCAGGGACCCCCTGCCCCGTCCGGCCTCTGTGGGGGCGGGGTGCTCCTTGGGGCCCTCCCGCCGCCCCTGCGCGGCCCGGCCGGCACCCGGCAGCCTGCACTGCCGCCAACACACGTGGGAACCTTCCGCCGCAGCGCGAGACGCCGTAGGCTGCACCTGCGGCCGCGGCCCGCCCCCGCCCCACGCTGGCCTCATAAAGGCGCCGGTCCCCCGCCTCCCGGCGAGACGCATCTCCCGGCCCGAAGCTCCACCACGCAGGTGCTCGGAGGCCCGGCGCGTGCAGCGCGGGAACAGCCCGGGCGGCGACGGGCCCGCGGAGCCGGGGCGGGCCCGAGGGCAGGGGTCGCAGCGCCGGGGCTCCGGGGCGCGAGCGCCGAGGCCTCCCCGCGGCTTAGGTTTCGCTTTCCCAGGCGCGCGCGGTTTCGCTTTCCCGTCCCCGGGCACGCCCGCGCCGGCGTCGGTGCCGCTGTGGTCCCCGCGGGCCCCGCCAGCGCCCTCCCGCCCGGGCCGCGCCGCCCGCACCTGTGACCGCCCGCGCCGCCCCAGCAGCCCGCCGCCCGCCGCCCGCGCCCAGGCTATGGCCGTGCCCGCGGACAGGTGAGCGCCCGCCCGCCGCCGGGGTGCGCGGCCACCGGCCTCGCCCGCACCCTGACCGCCGGCCGCCGCCCGCAGGGGGGCCCCGCGCCCGCTCTTCGCAGACTGGCTCCTGGGGGAGGTGAGCAGCGGCCGCTACGAGGGCCTGCGGTGGCTGGACGCCGGCCGCACCCGCTTCCGCGTGCCCTGGAAGCACTTCGCGCGCAAGGACCTGGGGGAAGCCGACGCCCTCATCTTCAAGGTAGGCCGCGGCCGGGCGGGCAGGGGGGCTGCGGGCGGGCGGGCCCTCGGCTCACACCTTTCACCCCTCCCCAGGCCTGGGCGGTGGCCCGAGGCAGGTGGCCGCCAGGCGGCGGTGGCCGTGACCAGCTGGCCTGCGAGGCCGCGCTCCGCGCCGGCTGGAAAACCAACTTCCGCTGTGCCCTGCGCAGCACCCAGCGCTTCGTGATGCTCCAAGACAACTCCGGGGACCCCACTGACCCACATAAAGTGTATGCACTGAGCCCGAGCCGGGGTGCAGAGGTGAGGAGCCCCACGGGAGGGCCGCGGTTGGGGAGCCAGGTGCTCAGGCCCGACACAGTGCAGCGAGGGTGCTGGGACCTCGCTCTGTACCGGAGCACATCCCTGGGGCAGGCTCCGGCTTCTGAGACAGACGTGGGAGAGGCAGGTGCCAGGTGGTTGGGGACGGCGGGGAGAGCTGACTGGGCCTGCTGGGGTGGATTAGTGGTGGGGCCACCCTGCTCTGAGGGCCTACCCAGGGACACACCGTGTCCACTCGAGTCTCACCCCATTCTCCCTCAGGAGCTGCAGCGATTAACCACGGGGAGAAGGCGGGTGAAGACGCCCCACCGCTGATGGTAAGCCGGTTCTGCCCCCGGTGCTCGTGCTCCCAGGTGGGGGCTGCCCTCCTCCCTGAGCTGGGGAGCTGCTTATGCTGGCCCTGTCTTCCCTGCAGGGTGGGCTCCCTAGGCCATGCCTGGGAGGAGATGCTGGCCAGAGGCTGGGGCACAGGCTGAGCCCTGAGCCCTGTGCCCCATGCGCCCCTTTGGGCCAAGCTGGCAATGCCGAGGACCTCTTGCTCCAGGCCCTACAGCAGAGCTGCCTGGAGGACCATTTGCTGGAAGCTGCATGGGGGGTGGATGCAATCGCCCCAGGCGCTTCTGGTGAGGCTGGCCGGATGGGGGTGCTCTGCCTTGCAGGGCTGTGTGTGTGTGTGGGGGGGGAGCAGGGAGGACAGCACGGTCCTCATGGAGAGGGAGGAGGATGTGCAGTAGAGGTGGTGCAAGCCACAGCTGTGCCCATTGTCATGCTGCTCAGGCCCAGAGCTCCCTGACATGGAGCCATACCAGCCACAGGCAGCAGAGATGGCCCCAAGCCCTGAGCCCCAGGTCCTGCACCAGGCCCGGATGACAGGTGAGAGGAGCCCGTGGGAGTGTGAAGGACGGAGGGCTTGGGGGGCCAGGTGCCAGTCAAGCCCTCCTTTCCTTCCAGATACAGGCCCAGCCTCGGAGCCGTGGCAGCCCCCCCAAGAGGTGGAGCCTTGCGCCCCAGTGGCGGGGGGGCAGGTCCTGGCCAGGCCCGGCTGCTCACAGCCAGGACTGCAGGCAGAGCTCAGGGCCCTGGATGTGACCATCATGTACAAGGGCCGCACGGTGCTGCAGGAGGTGGTGTGGCATCCAAGCTTTGTGCTCCTGTACGGGCCCCCCAGCCTGGCCACCAGGGCCACCGAGCCCCACTGCGTGGCCTTCCCAAGCCCGGCCAAGCTCGCGGACCAGAAGCAGCTTCACTACACAGAGAAGCTGCTGCAACACGTGGCCCCTGGCCTGCAGCTGGAGTTACGGGGGCCGGGGCTGTGGGCCCGGCGCCTGGGCAAATGCAAGGTCTACTGGGAGGTGGGAGGGCCCCTGGGCTCAGCTAGCCCCTCCACAGCCCCCCGCCTGCTGCAGAGGAACCAGGACACCCCCATCTTCGACTTCAGCATGTTCTTCCGAGGTCAGTTACGTGTCCATCCCGGGGCCAATGCTGCCCCGCCCCCTCCCGTCCCACCGGGCCCTGCTCACCAGGTCCTGTCCTGCAGAGATGGCCGAGTTCCGAGCTCGCCGGCGTCGGGGCTCCCCATACTACACCATCTACCTGGGCTTTGGGCAGGACCTGTCGGCTGGAAGGCCCAAGGAGAAGAGCCTGGTCCTGGTGAAGGTGAGGCACGGGGTCCTGTGGGAAGGCCGTGCACAGCACCCGGCCAGCCTGCCGACACCCTCCGCCCACCCCCTCCCCCGCAGCTGGAGCCACGGCTGTGCCGGGCGCACCTGGAGTACGTGCAGCGAGAAGGGGTGTCCTCCCTGGACAGCAGCAGCCTCGGCCTCTGCCTGTCCAGCTCCAACAGCCTCTACGAGGACCTGGAACACTTCCTCATGGAGGTAGAGCCGCCTGCCTGAGCGCCGGGCTGCTCTCCCAGCCAATAAAAAGGACTTGAACCGATGTGTGGTGTCCTGACCAGGGGCGGGTGCTCAGAGGGCAGCACAGACTGAGGCTCACCCTACTTCCCTGAGGCCTGGGGAGGGACGCCACCACGCTTGCACGCACTCCCACTCAGGCCTCCCGTGCAACCCGCTCTCCTCTATCTTCACCATGAAGAAACAGGCCACACGCTTTAGAGCCAACAAACTCTACTCAAAGAATACAAAAACGCTCTGGGGACAGCAGGTGTTTGCTCCTGGCAGGTGTGCTGGGGGGTGGGCACCACGAGCGGCCGACCCAGCTGTGCGCAGGGCCCCGCCTTCCAATCCAAGCACTGCGCTGCCTGCTGGGAGGCAGCAGGCACGAGCGTTCTTTACAGCACACGACAGCAAAGCTGGGAGTGGCCTTCCCTTATTACACAGGGCAGGACATCGGGCACCCGTGAGGGGAGTCGGGGGCTCCTTCCACCCCCCAGGCCCCTCCCGATCGCCAGAGGCTTCACCTTTCAAGTACTGAGTCAATCAAGAAGTTTCTAAAGATAATCCATTTTTGATAAATTAGAACACAATGGAAACAGTGTGTATCTAGAATATACATATAAAAAAGTCCAGTTTTAAACTGTGAGCAGGCCCGGTGCACAGAGCACGTGTGATCACAGAACCCTGAATGCAGGAGTGCTGGCTGGGTGTCTTCAGAGTTTTCTGCTTCTGCCACTCCCAAAAGAATCGCTCGGGGATGGGGGCCAGCGCCCCCCGCTCTCCCCGCCCTCAGCTCTCAGGGCCCTGGGCGGGCGCCTCCTCACCAGCCTCGGCCCTGCGGTGCCTGCGCATGTGTCTGTATTTGTCCACATAGGCCTTGACCAGGTTGCCCACCTTCACGGGGTTGATCTCCCCGCTCTTGCTGTGGCATATCTGGGGGGAGGGGAGAGGCACAGATGACCCACACGTCCCCACAGGGACCACAGGACACAGAGCCTGACATCCCCCGCTGTGCCTGCCTCACACGGCGGCTGAGGGTCCGTCTCCCAGCCAGAGACTGTGGCCCGTGAGCCACGGATTTGGCCCTGATGCCCTGGGCCTGAGAACCATCAGTGTCTCGGGCTCCTGCTTTCCCACCTGCAAGCGTGGTGCGTTACGTACCTTCTGTTACTTCGCCTACGGAACAAGCGACAGTGGGTCCCGTCCCCTCCCAAACTCCAGTGCTTACCTTTCCCGAGCACCTATGAGCTACTGTGACAGGAAGATGGAAGTGGCCTCTGGCTGCAGCCAGGACGTGACCATGCTGCCCCGGCCCCCGCCCTGCCCACCCACACCCACCTTCTGTACAGCCTTGCGGAGGATGTCCTTGTACTCGTCCTTCGTCACCTCCCTCTTCTGGTAGAAGGGCTTGATGGCCAGCTTCACTTCCTCCACTGCCCGCTCCTGCATGTGCAGCTTCTTCATGTACTGAGAGCAAGGACACACGCGTGTGACCGCCCCGCCTGCACACAGGGCTGCACACGGCCCGGCCCCGAGCAGGGAGGGCCCGGACTCACCTCCTCATTCTTGGCCTTCTCTGCGGCAGGCCTGGGAGTGGCCGTCCTCTCCTCGGAGTTGCTGGAGCCAGTGGAGTGGCCGGCTGGCTCCGAGGCCGTGGCCAGGGAGGTGGGCACGGGGGCCGGGCTCTGTGCAACACCACAGCTGGCCAGGGGCAGGCTCCCCTGCAGGATGAACTGCACCGTGGGCTGGCTGGCCGGTGCGTAGGGCGGGAGGCTCATGGGCAGAGCTGGGGCGGGAGGCAGGTTGGACGTATAAACCTGGACGAAAACACAGCTTAGGGCGGCGCTCCCGGCCCCACAGCAGGAGCAGCCCTGGCCAGAGAGGGAAGTCCCTCAGCCCCAGCCTGGCACAACCCATGTGGCCGGGCACCAGACCACGTCCCTCCGGCCTAGGCACCCACCTGAGAGGGCTCAGCGTCAGGGAAGCCAGACTCTGGAAGCGCATAGCCGGGAGGAGGGGGCTCAGAGAAGGATGTCTGCTGGAAGCCCACTGAGGGGCCCATGTCCTCTGCTTCCCAGACCCCTTCCCGGGGCTTCTGAGGCCTGTGAAGCGGCGTCCCTGAGGGCCAACACAGGGGAGGTGGGTGCTCCGTGGCCACTCTGGGCCAGAAGCTGCTTCCTGGCTGAAAATTCCAGAGGAGCATCCCAGCAGCAAGGACCACGGGCCAGGCTACAGCCACCACCCTGCCTCACGGCCTACGCTGCCACCCAGAGAGAAGACCCCCCAGCGGTCACCTGGGGCCATCCTCACACACCCCCTGGTCCACTGGCCCCCCAAGCGCCCGCCGGAGCCCCCTACTCACGCAGGCCTCGGTCCTCGGCAGGGGTGCTGCTCTCTGCGTCCTGGAGGTTCCAGGTGACTCTCTTCACCAGGGCTTTGGCCCGCAGCAAGGGGGTCTGCGAGGGGCCTTCCTCCTTCCCCACGGGCACCCCGCCCACAGCCTGGCTCCCCAGGGCACTGGGCACCGGGCTGGCCCCAGCTGCATCCTGCTGGAGCAGGGGCTTCTCGTCGGGGCCCTGCGCCTGGGGCGGGGGCTGTGCGGCATCTTCGCCATGGATCAGGGACACCTCCTGTCGCATGACAGCCACGGCCAGGCTGGCGTCCTGCTGCTGGCTGGCAGGCCGCACAGCAGGGTTGGGTGGGAAGTCTCGCTCTGGGGAGGAGTCCGTGCTCTCCGGGGAGGGCGGGGAGCTCATGTCATCAAGCTGCATGAGAAAGACTTCGCTTGAAAAATCCTCAAAGATGTGCCCCGCCTCCACAGAGTCCCCATAATCAAGGTCCTCAGGCGGACACTCAGCTGGGACCTCCACAGCCGCCTTGTGGGTCTCAGCCCCCACCGGTGAGGCGTCCGCTCCCACTGAGGCCAGCGGCCTGGCTGGTTGCTCCCTGTCAGGCTTCTGCTCCTCCTGGGGAGCGGCTGCCAACTTCCTCTCCGGGGAGCGAGGCCTCGGGCGCTTCTCATGGGAACGAGGCCGCTGGTGCTCCCGGGACCTGTGCTCCGTGCTCGGCGACCTCGGTGACCTGGACCTCCGCTTCCTCCTCTCGTGGGAGCCCCACCTGATGCGAGGCCGCTCCCGGCTCCTCTCCCTCGGGTGCCGGTGTCTCCGGGCTCTGTCCAGGCTGCTGGCGGGTGAGCACTCCCTCCCCCGAGACCTGGACCCCGACCGCCTCCGCTTCCTCCTCCTGCTCTCCCTGCGTTCATGGGACGAGCTCCCTGGGCTGCCTGAGCGGGACCTGGACCTCCACCGGCCGTGACCCCAGGAGTCCCTCTTCCTCCTCCTGCCCTCCTCCTTCGCCTTCTTCCGCTTAGCTCGCTCGCGGCTGCTGGAGTGGTCACTAGAAGACCTCCGGCCCCGGGACTTGGTCTGCTGCCTCTTGGGGTGGTCCTCCCCCACCGGTGGCGACACAGACCGTGAGCTCCTGTCCCCAGAGTGGGAGCCCGAGCGGGAGCCTGAGCGGGTCCTCCGGTGCTCCCTGGCAGAGGACCGCTTCCTCTTGGCTTTCTTCCTGCCGCGGGAGCTGGACGTGGAGCGGGAGCAGGACGGGGACCTGAGCTCCACGATCCTGTGGGTGGTTGTCTGCGGCGCGTCCGGGCTGGGTGGGGCCTCTGGCTCTGCCACAGTCACGCAGGTCACTGTCCGCTCCTCGGAGCCAAAGAAAGTACTGCAGGGTAGCTGGTCCTTGTCCTCCCACGGCTCGGATGGGGACGGCCTCTGCGCCTGGGAGGCCGAGCCCCGGCCCTCAGCAGCCCCCTGGCCCAGCCCCTCTCGCTCCAGGTCGGAGGCCTCCTCGGGAGCCCTCTCGCCCCGGAGCTTGAGCATGCCGGAAGAAGGCCCCCTCGGGGGCTCGGGCTCAGCCCCGAAGACTGTCTCCACTGTGTAGGAGGTGACACAGCGCACAGTCTGCAACGTTGGGGCCTTCGGGCTGTTGATGGAGATGGTGCGAGTGATCTCGGAGGGCAGGAGGCCAGAGCCCAGGCGCTCGGGGCTGCTGCCGGCAGAACTGGAGTCGGAGCCTGTGGGGTCAAAGGGGTCGTAGATCTCACTCTTGAGCTGTTTGGTCTTCCTGATGGAGAAGAGGGGCGAGGGGTTCTCTTTCCTCTGCACCTTGTTGTCGACAGGCCGGAACGTGTTACAAAAGCCAGGGTTGGAGAGTCTGCCGGAATGCGCGGTGTTCCCGGGAATATTGATCCTGAAGCTCTCAAACGTCGAGCTGACACCCTTCCCCTTCGAGGGTCCCAGGGAGGCGGGGGACTGGGAGCCACCCCCTGAGTGTGGCCGGGGCTCTTGTGGGCCCCTGCTGCTGGGCTCGCCCTCTGCTCGGGCACCGTGGCCGGGCTGGCCGGGGCCCTCCCTGCCCGTGAGGCGGCTGATGCAGGAGCTGGGGATCTCCACGCGCTGCTCGCTGGTGGGGGCCGCATCCGCCCGTCTGCTGCCACAGTCCTCCCTTCTGACCTTTGGTATTCTGGGTAGCTCAGAGATGTCAGGCCTCCTGGGAGCTGACTTCAGGGCCTGGCCCAGCAGCGCACCAGCCGGTGGCAAGTGAGAGCAGCTACCAGAGATCTTGGAGGGTGCGGCGCTGGCGGGCAGAGTGGGCCTGTTGCCATCACATCGGGGGTCGTCCCTCTGCTTTAGGCCAGGCCCGCGCACGCCTGACGGGTTCTGAGCCTGACTTGACGGAGGGGTTACCGACGAGTCCAGTTTCACAGTCGCCCCTGTTGAGAGCGCAGGGACACGGGAAGGTGCGGGCCCACTGCGACAGCTCAGCCCTGTGCTCTGCAGCCCGCTTCCCGCGCATGGGGCTCTAGGCTGCAGGCAGGCCCTGGGCCCAGGGTGCTTGCCCCCTTGCGATGAGCCGCCTGTGCTCTTGCCCGCGCTCCATGGGAACGAAACAGGTGCTGAAAGACAAAAGGGTGAGTGGCCATCAGTCCCCACCGGCTCCTTTATGACACACAGTCCGTGGTTCGGCCCAGATCACAATGGCTTTCTCCTGCTTATTCCCGGGTGCCTGGGTGGCTGTGTGTGTGGGGAGCGTCTACTTCAGCTCAGATCATGACCTCAAGCCCTGTTGGGCTCCCTGCTCAGCAGTGAGTGTGCTTCTGCTCTCCCTCCCCCCTATCCCTGCTCATATTTACATTCTCTCTCAAATAAATAAAATCTTTTTTTAAAAATTTTTATTTATTTATGATAGTCACACACAGAAAGAGAGAGGCAGAGACATAGGAAGAGGGAGAAGCAGGCTCCATGCCTGACATGGGACTCGATCCTGGGTGTCCAGGATCGTGCCCTGGGCCAAAGGCGGGCGCTGAACCGCTGCGCCACCCAGAGATCCCTCAAATAAGTAAAATCTTAAGAAGAAAAGCTATAGGGACACCCGGGTGGCTCAGTGGTTGAGCGTCTGCCCTCGGCCCAGGGCATGGCCCTGGGGTCCTGGAATCAAGTCCTGCATCGGGCTCCCTGCATGGGGCCTGCTTCTCCCTCTGTGTCTCTGCCTCTTTCTCTGTGTCTCATGAATGAATGAATAAAATCTTAAAAAAAAAAAAAAAAAGTAAACAAATGCCCATTTCCACTTGCTCCTTGAGCTAGACCTCTGCGCACCTGGGGGCAGCACTCAGGTCTCACCTGCAGGCAGTCTCACATGACACCGTGGGGGTTTTTACTTTCTCTTAGCCTCACAGCCGTGCCCTGTGGCCGTGCAAAACACCCCCGCCACTTACAGACGCTTGTCACAAAGGGGCACAGCCTGCCCGCCCTCCATGTCGGGTCCGCCGGCAGGCGCAGGAACCTTACCATCACCTAAACCATCAGCCTGCAACCTCTGTTCAGAAGAGGACGGAGAACTAACAAAGAACTGAGAAAATCCTGCCCCTTCACATACGTTTTGAGCGGAGGATTCATCTTAGCTCCGCAAAGGTCTCATCCACCGCTCGCTCAGACACAAGGAGAACCAAAGGGTCACGTGACCCTCTCAGTTCCCAGAGCGCCAAGGCACACAGGGCTCCCCGTGGACACTGCTGGCTCCGTGCAATGGCCACCTCACCTGCTCTCTTGGCGCTGAGGGAGCCGTCCCGATGGATGATGATGTCGGCGCCGTTCATCATGAGGAGGCTCTGGCCCGACAGGATACTCCCCACCAGGTCAGGGACTGGGGCCTCGTCCACTTCGGGCTCAGGCGCCGCAGCAGGAACACTCCTCCTGTGGGTACAGACCCATGGCTGCCTCCCCATGCCCAGGACCCTCAAGCCAAGCAGGTGGACCCTCCCCCACCAGCTGCCACACGCGGAAGAGGCAGCCTGCCGGGGCCCTGAGCGAAGAGGGCATCAGACCCACCCAGCAGCTTTAAAAAAGAAAAGAAAAGCAGGGTGTTTGGAGATGAAGTCATCTGATGCTTCTGGCCCCAACTGCCACCAACAGGCCACCAACAGGCACCCTATTGACCGGTTCCATTGCTTTGTTTTGTTGGATGGGTGAACAGAAGAAAATAGTCCAGCCTGGGGCGGCAGCACGGACAGCAGCTCTGTGGCCAAGGTGGGCACACGGAGGCGGCCTCAAGCACCTACGGCCACTGGCCCCCAGCTCAGCCCAGGCAGGCTCTGGCTGACCATGCATCCTGGTGCCCTGTCCTTCAGCACACGCCCCAGAACAGGCAGGGTGAACACGCAGGGTGCCAGGCCCATATGGAGCCCTGCTGGCTCCACCCCAGGACCACGGTCCCCGCCAGCACATACCTGGAGAGCCCCATGGCCACAGGCCTGGCCACGGGCCGGTGAGAACGCAGTGCCGACTGGGACAGAACCCTCCTCTTGGCGCTCAAAGGGGAAGCAGGGTTTGTAGACTGGTCCTCACTGCTGGAGAAAGCACAGAGCCCACAGGAACGGTGACCCCACAGTGGAGGCCCAGGGAGACCCTGGCCCCTCCTCAGCTCTACTCGGGGCAGCACTTGTGCGCCAGCCCAACACGGCTTCTACCCAAGCCTCTGAGTGGGCGCAGGGCAAGGGCGGGCGGATGTGCACAACACGGCTTCTCCACATTGGCAGGTGCGGAGAGTTCCCTCCTCACCCCACCTGAAGGAATCTGAAAAGGAGTCGAGTCCTTCCCCTCATTTTACAAATGCAAAACCTGAGGCCCACTGCCCATGAAGGAAGGAGGAGGGAAGAAGGAAGGAGGAGGGAAGAAGGAAGGAGGGAAGGAAGGATGGAGGGAAGGAAGGAGGGAGAGAGGGAAGGAGGGAGGGAGGGAAGGGGGGAAGAAAGGAGGGAGGGAAGTGGAGAGGGAGGGAAGGGGAGAGGAAGGAGGGGAGTCCCCCTGCAGGGCAGCCCCCGTTACCTGTCAAAGGGGTCCAGCTCATAGGGGTCTCCAAAGAGCGACAGAGAGGCCGCTCCAATGTCCGCACGCATCAGCCCCAGAGAGGGCTCCGCTGGCTTATGCACAGAAGGGATGCAGCCTCCACAGGCCGGACCCCGGAGGCCCAGTGTCCGTGCGATGCGGGAGCGAGCTGTGGCTTCATTCTGAACCAAAGTCATAAAAAGAAAGGAATGATAAGAAAGACGGGACCTGAAGGCTCTAGAAACACCTCTGAGTAAATGCCACACCAGAGCCGCAGGGCTTGGCCTGTAGCAACGATGACGATCCACGGGTCCTTATACAGCCCAACATCCCCACGCGCAGCACACCACCACCTGCAGGAACTTTGCACGTTGCTGTTACCAGGTGGTCTGTTTTCTACAAAAATTCACAAGCAGCGAACAAACCATTCAAGGGATGACTGATTTGACAGGTGTTTTAAAAACCACCCGAGGGGCAGGGCTGAGGGGACAGCATTCCCACCTGTGCGTGCTTGGGGCCACAGTCCCCAGACACCCTGGCAGGGGAGATGGCGACATGCAGCCAAGCCCAGGCTCAGGCTCAAGCATGAAGGGTCCACACAGCGGGACACGGCCAGTGTGCCACCCACACCCACGTGTGGCCACAGCTTTGGCTTCTTGTCCCTCCAGGAAGTCCGAATGAATGAACCACCAGAGCAGCTGTTCACATGCTCCATTTAGACACAGGGAGGGGCACCTGCATGGTTAGTGCCTGCGTCTTGGCTTCGGCCCAGGTCATGATCTTGGGGGTCCTGGGATCAAGCTCTACGTCGGGTTCCCTGCTTCTCCCTGTGCCTGTGTCCCTCCCCCTGCTCCTGTGAGCTCTCACTCGCTCTCTCAAACAGAAATCCTTAAAAAAAAACAAGACAAAACCTGAGTACAGGTTTCCGTAAGCATACAGTACGTTCATCAGCCAACGGCAACGATCTGAACGTGAATCCACGTACAGATGCAGCAAGCACCTGAACGACAGCCACAACGGAGCATCTTAGGTTTCGTGTACTAAGGTGATGTCAGCGTCCAGCCCGGTAGTTGCAGGGAGGACAATCCTTCAGAGCAGGGACACGCAGCGCGGGCTGCACGCACACGGAGGGGCCCGCTCTCAAAGCCTGCTTGTGAGGAACTAGAGGACGAGGAGCCCACGGGTGACCCACTCGAGTCACCTCAGCCAGGACAAGACTGGTCTGGCGGAAAACCCGGCCGCACACCCAGCCGGCGTTCCCCTCTCGACGCCCCCAGCTCCCAGCGGCTCCACACTCTAGCTAACAATCCGGTGGCCTCCCCAGCCAGCTGGTGGCCCCGGCCCCGCCGCCCCGACACCCCCTGGGCAGCCTGCCCTCTGCGCCCCACAGGGCCCACCCTGGGGTCCCAGGAGTTGTACACAAGCCCCGGGCCGTCCAGCTGCTGGAAAGGGTCCTGGACGACCTCTTGGCCTAGCCCTAGCTTTAATCTGTGCTGCAGAAACGTTCATTTTTACAGAAAGGTGGGTGTTTCTGAGTCCTAGCACCTGCCGCGCACGGGAACGACAGCCGCAGCGACAACGTCGTCCAAGCCTACCTTTGACTTGTTCCCTTTTCTCTTCTTCACGCGGCCCTGGCGTTTCTTAGACCTCGCCCCAGAGCTCCTGCTTTTCACAGATGACCTGGGCTGCGCTTTCCTTCTTCCTGACGCTTTCTTCCGTCTTCCTGCAAAGAGCACCCTGGGAGTCTGTGCTTCGCCAGGAACCGGAGGCCCCCGCCCCTGCATGTCCCCCTCACGCAGGCGCCGCACCCGCCGGGCCCTGGCGCGTAGACGGCTGTGCGTACTGCCCCGGGGTTTTACATGGAGAAATAAACCATCACCTAAAGCTCCGTGCTTCCCATGGAGGAGCGAGAGAGGGCAGGCAGTGCAGAGGACACAGGGCGCCTCCGGAGGCCACGGATTACAGACCTGACCTCCGTAACTAGTAAGTGTTTCACGTGGTCACGTAACAAAATTAAATAAAAAACAAACCGCGACAACCCAGAGTAAAATGAAACCACCGGCTCCAGGCCCGCGCCCTCTCCAGCTAACCACAGAGGAGCCCCCAGCAGAGGGGAAACGGTTGCCGCGCATTTCCAGGAACATGTCCCGAAGGGGGCGCCGCACAAACCCCCGGGTTCAGAGACATGGGTGGCTCAAGGGGCTCCTCCTCCCAGGATGCTCCCACAGCCCCTGGGCGCCCACAGGCGCTTCAGCCCAGAAGGAGGGGTTCCACGGAGCCCCGGTGATCGGCCCTCGGGACGCCATCGACACAACCTGCGTAGCAAAGTTCTGAGTTCCTAACCCCGCCCGGACCCCGAGCTCTGCACGAGGACTCGACTAGACGTAGTCCCAAGCCCCCGAGGCCTGGGCGGCTGCCAGCACAAGAGGAAAGCCTCCCCTTGCCCTGCCCGAGTCCCCGGGGCACCGGCTCACAAGCAGGGAGACCAGCAGGGGCCGCACCCCCTCGCAGGCTGCAGGGCTGGGAGGGGCGCCCACGGCGACCTGGTTCCCTGTGCGGCCAAGTCACACGGAGACACTCGCCAGGCACGGCTGCCAGCGCAACAGGGATCTCGTTCGGCTCTGGATTCAAATAAACTATTTCTAAAGATTCTATCACATTTATGACACATTTAGAACTTTCAATGTTGAGAGTCTATCTCACAGCACTCAGGAATTCCTGTTCTCCTCGTCGGGGGCCGCAGGGGTACTGGGCTTAGGGGGAAGGGAGGAGGACCGCCTCCTTTAGAAACACATCGGAACACGCCAACAGGTTAAAGGCCGCGGGCGCCAAGGACAGGCTTTGGACCAATGCAGGGCAGGGCGGGGTGGCAGCTAGGCCAGGCCGGGGCAGGACGGCTGGGTGCAGGTTCACTACTCGTTTCCCCCAGGCCTCCCAGGGTTGACAGGGGTCTGTAAAAACAATTAAAAATTCACTAGAAAAGCCAAAAAAGGGAATCCCTGGGTGGCTCAGCGGTTCAGCGCCTGCCTTCAGCCCAGGGCGTGACCTTGGGGTCCTGGGATCGAGTCCCAAGTCGGGCTCCCTGCATGGACCCTGCTTCTCCCTCTGCCTGTGTCTCTCATGAAGAAATAAATAAAATCTTTTTTTTTTTTTTTTTTTTTTTTAAAGAAAAACCAAAAGAACCTCAAACCAAACCAAAGCCCAAACCAAAAATCCCACTGGGCAAGATGAAAGCGTGACCGGGACAGAACGATGCTCAGCTGCCCGAGCACAGGTAACGGGCGCGGCCGGTCCTCGCTGGGTACATCTTAGGGACAAAAGGAAAACCTTCCGGTCCCACCTCGAGCCACAGCACTGGCATCGCCTAAAGCAGATGGCCTGGGGCCGTCTCTGTGCGATGGAGGTGCAGTGAGCAGACACGTGCCAGCACGGAGACCTGGCACTTCTGAGCCGAGACGAGGGGAACAGTGTGAGACAGGAAGGAAGGCCCTTATGCCCTTCACGCCACATGGGACAGCCCACCAGTGGCAGAGAGCACGCACAGCACGGTCCCACGGACGGAGACAAAGGGCGCAGGCTGCCCATGCCGGCACCCCACTAGCGACAGGGCCGGACAGCACCCAGGGCTCGGCAGCAGTGGCGGGGGATGCAGGGCACGGGGACCAGCAAGGACCATCCCCGGCGCCGGGGGCCGCGCGGCTCTCGGGCCACTGGGGTAGACAGCCACGCAGCCTGAAGCGTGCCTTGAGTCTCCGAGCCCACGGTGTGCTCTTCTCCGACACCTGCCCGCAAGACCCCGGTACAGGCACACCACGAACATTCGCAGCCACCCAGTAACAGCCCAAACGACCCTCGAGGAAAACTGGAGCAACAAATTGTGCTGTGCGCCTAACGCGGATATTCCTCAACGATACACGAAGTCCGTCCATCACAGACACCACAGAGTCCAAAACCACCGCGCTGAGCGGCAAACCCGCGCATCCAAGGTCCTATGAACGTCTCACCACGTGAAAGCTGAAAACAGGCGAAGCTAACATACAGTGTGAAGAAGGGTGGCGGCTGGGGGGCCAGGGGGCCGGGGCCAGGGTGCAGGCCAGGCGGGGCAAGCGTCATCGCCATCAAGCCTGGATCTGTACTGCTGTCGCTATAACACCTCAGATCATCACCCACCAATCAAACAGGTGAGCACAAGGCCACAGTGACCTCCCCGGGTCAGCGAGGGAGGGGCAGGGCCCCTCGAGGCAAGAGCATCCCCAGATGACGATCAGAGCTCCCTCCTCACGCTCTAAGCCGCCGCCGAGCTCGAGCGGGCACCCGTGTGAGCAACTGGACCCACGCCGCCCCAGGCCTCTCCCCAGGAGGCACCCACGGACACGAGGCAAGGACAGAACGTACAGGAATTAAGCCAGGAAAAGGACAAGAAAGCAGCCAATTCATCACTTGGACAGCACCCGCGCACAAAAGCCCAGAACCAGGGTCCTCCTGCTGTGCTGCTGCGTGTAGAGGAAAAAAGGCAGTTTGGCCACAAAGTCTCACGGTCCCTAACCAAGGTCGGGGTGGCCGAGTCGCCCTGACACGCCTGCAGGGCTGTAGCTGCAGGGACCTCAAGGCCTGCAGCAACGTTCACACGTGCACAAACCAGACCCGCGCGGCCCTTCTGACCCCTGAAAATACCAGCCTGCAGAACCTGCAGGGGCTCTGGGGTGAAGCTCCTGGGGACCGAGCCACACCTGGGCTTACCTGTTCTCCTCCTGCGCTTGGGGGCCCGGGGCGTCACGGGGCGCTGGTACACGGCAGTACTCAGACCCGCAGCGACCGCCTCGATGGTCTCGTCCAGCAGAGAAGACATGAGGTACCGCGGGACATGCTGCGTGGCAAGGAGGGTGCCGTTGGCGGGGCAGCGCTCCCCCAGAGCCTTGAGGGACCCCGCACTGGCCCCCACCAGGCCACCCATGGGGGCCAGATACCCTCGGGCTGCCAGCAGGTTTAGCGGGTGTCCCCTTCTCGCTTCTCAAAGACAAACCGCGGCAGGCTTCCTGAGGGTGCTCAAGGTCTGGGAGGGCCCCCCAATAACACGTTCAGGGCGGGAACGTGGAGGGCCAGGCAGGCCGCGAGAAGCCAGCTGCAGGGCCAGGGCACCGTGCCGGTGCGGAGCAGGGCCACACAGGGAGATGGACACGGGGTCCATGGGGTCCACGGGGTCCGAGCCCCCCAGCCAGGCGCTCTGTGCTCCGCGCCTTCCCCTGGCGAGTGCCCTCCCAGTGCTGACAGCAGAGCGTGCTGCTACGGGGAGCAGTGCACGGGTGTGCGGGCCCACGGGGGGCCAGTAGGCTGTTGTGGGGCAAGCTGGGCCTGATTCCCTTCACAGCAGCCAAAACGTGGGGCTCGACCGTGCACGCGGCTGCCCTCGCACACCTCCCCCTGCCAACAGCCCCCCTCCCCAGAGCCCCTGGGCAGCTCTACAGCTGGGCTGGCGGCCACAGCCCACCCACCTGGATCCTCCTGGCAGTGGAGATCCGATTCCGGTTCACAGTCGCGCGGACCCTCTCGCTCTGCCTCGTCCTGGCAATAGCTCGGGTCCTCCCTGCGTGCGGCCGAAGCCGGCTGGTGGTGGGCACCACGTCAGCCAAGAGCAGGGCCACCTCTTCCTCGCTCACAGGACCTGCGTCTGCGAAGGACAAAGGTTCTGGACTGAGGAGCGCCCGCCACAGCCACACAGCCCTACGGGGTCTCCCACGAGAACTCTGCTGAGCGCTCCCTGGCTGGGACGGAGGTGGGGCCTTACCAGCGTCGGCAGAAGCTCCAGGCGCAGCACATTCTGGACAGAACCACTCATCCACCGGCACCTCCTGGAGAGGAGGGTCCAAACACTCCATGTGGTACCTACGGGAGCCAGAGGGCACACACAGGGTCACTGTACGACCCAGGGCCGCCGACGGCCATGCAGGTGGGTCGCAGGAGCGTGATGCACCCAGCTGCAGACAGATTCGTGTCCCCAAGTCCAGGTGGAAGCCCAGACAGCCAAAGTGGCTGCATTTGGAGATGGGATCGCTGGGGGCTGAGGTTATACGAGGTCGTGAGGGTGGGGCCCTGACCCACGGAGCGGGGTCCTTAGGAGAGGGAGGCACCCAGTGCTCCGTCTCCTGGCAGAGAAAAGGCCATGCGCACACAGCAGGAAGGCGCTGCTGGCAGCCCGGAGCGTCTCTCCAGACCTGACCCTGAGGACATGGAGCGGGCTCCGTGTGCATCACACGGGACACATCAGGCTCCGAGTGTTCCCACGTCCTTCCCACAGGGATGCTGGGCAGCTCTGCCCTCCAAAGGGGGCCCCACGGTCCCCGAAGCCTCCACAGGAGGCGTCCTATATGGAGGGACTGAGTTAGGTGGCCACGTGACCCAGGGCAGCTCCATCCCGTGGGGGACTTGCAGCTGACCGTGGCAGATGTCCTGCACCTGGAGGCTTGTCTGTGGTTGGTTGAGACCTTGGGTTGTCCCTGCTCCCCCCGCCCCCCCAGCGTCATTCAGCAGCCCCAAGAGTTTCAAATGCTGGCACCTCACACTTCACAATCCAGTCTGAGGAGCTAATACAGAAAGTACAGAAAGAAAGGCTTTGCTGAGTGAATGGAAGCGTGGCCTGACCACAGTCATCCAGTTCCTTCTATCCAGCCTTCAAGGACAGTGGTTTAGAAGAGTCACTGCTGACGCGGGCTGCCCGTGCCAGTCTTCTCCAAGCTGGCCCAAGCTTCTCCAGCCCAAGACCTGGACAAATCCCTGGCGACCTGAGCCCAGATTGAGAACCACGTACAGCTCACCGCGCTGGACCGTGGGGATCCAGGGAGCCAGGACAGGTGGAAACCCTCACCCCGTGACCCTCCCGCTGGGACCTCACACGAGAACCACAGGAATGGAAGTGAGGGCTGAGAGGTTCCTCCCGGAATGCAAGCCAGCAAGCCCAGGCCAGCATCAAGTCCTGGGCAGCACCCGCAGTGGACACCAGCCTCAGAAGCCCCCCCAGCGTGCTTTTTCAGGGGTAGGATCAGTAACAGCGTTGCTTCTCACAAAGCATTTCAAGGCTCCGACGTGGTCCACCCGGTTTTCTCCTCATGCCAAGCTCCAGGACCTCAAGTGGAGGCTGCTGGTGCGTCCACGGGCCAGGCCGCGTGGACTCACACTGACAGAGGGCCCCGCCACTGCAGCCACCCAGAACCACCCCCCTGCCCGCCAGGACGCTGCAGTGATGCGGCACCGTGACGTCCTCGGTGGTTTCCCTAGTGACTGGACACCTTTACGTTAAATTGCAAATTTTTTTTAAGCATCAAAGATAATGTGAACCTTGCTTCCTGTAAGTGAAGAGATCTGCTACACGTTTGTGTATCTACGGCTTTGTGCTTCCATCTCTAAAAGAACTGAGTCATTTCGGACTTGGTAACGACAGACATCTCACAGGAGGATTTAGCAGGCGGCAAATGTTAAGTGTGAGGATGCTTGGAGACGGATCACTATGCTCATCCGTCTGAACGTTCTAGATTCATTAGGATTTTTATATACTTGAGTTATCTGCTAAATAACCCAAGCACGTAAGACATGCTGACACGTTACATTTATGAACGCGGTTTAGGATAGTAAACAGAGTTGTGAGCTATCCCTACGTGTCACCACCAAGTTAGTAGGATTAAGAACAGACTGTGACGAAGGAGCTGAGCACCGTGGGCTTGATTCAGAAGGTGCAGGAAAACAACGAGGCCTGGTGAGCAGGAGTTCCAAGAGCCTCACCTGGGCTCCCCGCTGCCTTCGAGGCCACCAGAAGGCACCCACGTCTGGCATCCAGCTGGGGCCCCGGGCTGCAGAGGTGAGGCCAGCGACAAGGGCCACAGGCAGTCCCTCCTACCTCGAATGGCCTCTCCTGCAGCCTCCAGCTGTGCCAGGCCCACAGTGGCCCCAAGCACGTGGAAAGGACTGGTTTTACGTGAGCTGAGCTCTGAGTGCTGAGCTGCCCGCTCGGCCCCAGGGCCTCACGAGATCGTACTTCCTCAGCTTCCTGCTCGCACGCAGTCAGGTCAGTAAACGAGGCACAGGGCTGGCAAAAGCAGGGACTGGCCTCGAGGGTTCACAGGACACCCACGGCAGCCAGCCCTCTCCTGTCCTCACAGCAACCAGTGAGCAGGGGGCAATCAGACACGGCTGGGACCCCCACTGGGACCCCCTAACGGGAGCACCCACACGCAGGCAGCCACTCGTGAGAAGGGAGCCTGGACAGACCGTGCGAGTGGAGATGCCTGGGGAGGATAAACGCACAGCATGTGGCAATCGTCTGGGGAGCAAGCACGTGGCCAACTGAGCTCCACGCAGGAGGCACTGGGGAGGCAGGCCCTGGTCAGGGGTCAAAGCCTGGGCCAGTCTGCAACCAGGGGGCCTCTAGGGCCAGCTCTGGGCCACCAGGGCTCGAGACTGCTGGCCGCCTGCTGCTTCTCAGCCCAACCCTCAGAAGGGCTACCTACAAGACGAAGTTGCGGACCTGACAGCCCCATGGGCTCCTCCTACCACCACTCGTGTCTCAAGAGGCTGCCACAACCCTCTCAGCACGAGCTCACAGCAGAAAAACCCCCGAGAAATGAAGCATGACGCAAGGAGGCTGGGAAAAGGCTCCCAGGAGCCAGGGTCTGCTGGACACGGGTCACTTGGCCTCGTAGAAGGTGGGGTCCTGCACGTGACCTACGTCTGGGCTCCCGGCCCCCATTTCTCAGGTTCCCCTCGGCTCTTCTCCGTCCTGTAGCCTTATGTGCACCTCTGCTAAGCAGTCTCAGAATCTCTGGGGGAACAGCAGGGGTATAAGCGGTGGGAAGAGCCCGTGAGCCCTGCTGGCTACCAACCAGCGGCCTGGGACTCAGGTGCTCCCTACACAGGGGCCTGGCCTCAGCGGCCACAGCACACAGCGTGACGCACGGAGCAGCAGCCCTGTGTGACGTCCTGCTGGCCAGGGATCGGGACAGCAGAAGCAGCTCCTCTGCTCCTGGAGCTGCCGTGAGGGGCCCCAGGCTCACCCGGCGTCACAGCCATCACAGAGGAGCAGACGGTCCTCCCGGTCACTCCGGCCGCACACCTCACAGAAGGTCGGGTCCTCCTCTTCCTCTTCTCCGGCTCTGGCATTCTCCACTGGAATCTGAGAGCAGAAAAGCCCTGCCGGTCACACAGCAAGTGGAGCCTTATCCCCAGAGTCAGCAATTCTGCTCACGCGTAGCGGACGGAGCAGCTTCTCCTGTGGGAAGGCCCCAGAGTGGGCAGGTGGGGACCAGCCAGGACACGGTCACCGCAAATGGCAAGAGAGAAGCAGAATAAAAGCAGCAGGCCTTTATCCTCTCGAGAACCGTCCTAGGCCCCAGCAAGGGCAGGCAAACGCGCACCAGCAGGGTGGCAGCCACAGGCACGCATGGAGCACACCCTCCCCACGCAGGCTCGGAGGTGTGGGGCTCTGGCCTTCCGTTGTCTGAGCTGCCCCACGTGTGAGGGCTGTGGACACGCTCCCTTCACATGAGATGCCACCTCCGTCCCCCTCGCTGTGGCCACAGCCCGTCCCGCTCTCCCTCCACCGGTGTCAGCACTCATCCCACCCTTCTTCCAGAGCCCGGGGGTGGGGGGTGGGGGGGACTCAACTCAGGGTCCTCCCTAACCTGCTGCACTGCCTGTCACTCTCCGATGCTCTCCAGTTGGGCTAGCTCGTGTGCTCCCGGACTCTGCACCCCCATGCCTCTCGGCACACACAGGACGAGCTCAGCGTCCACATGCTCCTTTGGCAGAAGCTCCAGATAAATGAAGGCTGCCTACGTGATGCGGGGACAGGCCCAGGTTCCAGGGAAGGAGAGCAGTGTGTCTGGGTCAGGGGCCAGAGTCAGCAAAGCCAGAGCTGCCACATGCGCACAAACCTGAGCCAGCGCAGCACTGAGCCCACGAGAAACCTGCATGCCCAGCACCAAAGTCCCCATGCATCTACGGCCTTAGGCCCTTTGTAAATAAAACAGCGGGTCTACGGCTACAAGAGGCACATCTAAGGCGCGTGTCCGAGTCTCCGTGATGCTCCTCCCTGACGACAGGAGACTCATACAGGCCCTTCGAGCTCTGCAAAGCACACAAGCAAACGCATGCACTGGAGAGCAAAGGGAGCTCCTCCTTCCCCGCCCTCTCACACATGACGGGGCCCAGCGCTGTCGGGGGTGTGGCCCCTGGGGATCCCAGGCTCTACCCTCACCTTCCCTCTCCCCGTGGCTGTGAGCCAGGGAAAAGGCACGCGGGAGGGGGGAGGAAGAAGTCTGAGAAACTGCCTTCCCACCCAGAACCATTGACCCGCTTCACCCTCACGCTGCAAACGACATTTTAGTGGGTTTCTAAGGCGCACTTAACCAAAATTTGCTCACTTTAGGAAAGCTAATCAGGGTAGCCCAGGTGGCTCAGCGGTTTAGCGCCACATTCGGCCCAGGATGTGATCCTAGAGACCCAGGATTGAGTCCCACATCGGCCTCCCAGGATGGAGCCTGCTTCTCCCTCTGCCTGTGTCTCTGCCTCTCTCTCTCTGTTTCTCATGAATGAATAAATAAAATCTTTAAAAATAAAAAAAGGAAAGCCAATAAACTCCTGAAAGCACCTTCTCCCATCAGACCTGGACCAATGTCAGGAGGCATGGGGGGCAGGGGCGCTTCTCCACAGCAGCCACACTCACCTTCTTCAGGATTTTACCACCAAACCGGGCTCGAATACAAATACATTTAAATATAGTTCGATCGACGGGACAGGAATTGGCATTCTGTAAGAAATAAAAATTGTATCAGGATCCCAGAGGATTTTCACCATTAATACCAGCCATACTCAAAGAATTCCCTCAGAAATCACGAACTTGTTTAACATTGATCATCGAATCTTCACTGCACACCTATGTACCCTGTGCTAAGTCGCGGGGGCGAGGGAAGGAAAGCCAGCTGTGAGCCCACACACGTTACCCATCACTGCTGAATGCTCAACAAGCAGAAGAGTGGGGGTCCCAGGCCAGCCTCCAGCAGGGACAACCCGGTCGCTGGCCATCAGGCCCCTCCTCTGCAGCCTGTGGGCAAAGCCTTTACCCGTGTTCCCACGCACAAGGCTGCTTGACATCTCTTTCCTAGTAAATTCTGGTATTTCCTTAAATAGTGTGACTATGCATCAGATACACGTTCTGGATGCTTCTTATCAATATGGTTTGGATGCACGGAAGTTCCTTGTTTTAAAATACCTTTATCGGGTGTATCATACGTATTCTTTTTAAATGTGTATTTCGATGAGCTCTGACAAATTTCATCCACGGAGTCACCACCCAAACCCTCAGCCCCCTCCTCTCCCTCCAGGCTGTGTGCTTCCCTGGGGTCCCGGACACCCGTCCTTAGGACAGGGCTCTGGCTGCACACACAGCTAGGGACCAGCAGGCCGCCCGACGGTGGCCGGTTCATGTGCTGTTTCCAGCGTGGGTGGGTAGACAGGTTGCCTGCACACCCGAGGACAGTGGTACAGACTGGTGTCTCCTCGCCAGCTCACGGCTACCAGTGCATGAGCCCCAGGGCTCTCGAGTTACAGTCCCTCCGATCTGAGAGGTACAGGGGCTCCCATCCTCCCGTGGTCTCTGGTCTGACCTTCCGGCACCTGTGGCAAGACCTAACGGTGGAACCCACTCCCGACTCCTGCGTGCGCTGCCCTCGTGTAAAGCCTCCTGGCAGCTGCTGCCCCAGGTTAGAGGTCTGTCCCCACAGTTGCCCCGCATTTTCTTCTGAAGGCTTCAGAGCACGGCTCGCTAACTTCCCATCTTGGCTCCAGGGGGCGCTCTGTGTGCACCGTGAGCGGGGCCCTCCTCTCCATCCCACACTGGTTTACAGAGACCCGCTCTCCTCATGAGATGCCACCTGCTGGCCGCCGTGGGTGACTGTGCTCTTCAGGTCCCCACATTTGGACCGATCCTGGTGTAGTCATACTTTATAAGTCTTAGTATCCAGTGGGTGACTTCTCCCTTGTTCAAAAGGATGGGCGACTCTTGGTATTTTCTTTCCCTCCTCTATGAATTTCACAGCACTTCGAGGCTCTGGACGCTTGGTCAGGGTGGGGATGAGATGAGGGATCTCGGAGCCGGGACTTCTCCAGAAAGTGCTCCTTCTTCATTGATCTCAACTGTTTTAGAAAAACTCTTTCAAGGTCGCACATGTCTTTTTATGACTCACTTCTGAGTCTCTTAATCTTTGTTAATCTTGTGTCCAGCAATATTGCTGAATTTCATATTCTAATTGTTTGTAAAACATCTATGTTGACAAACATTATTTGCAAAGAACACCTTTTCCTATGTGACATTTCTATCTTTTTTTGCTTCCATTAATCCAGCATATTGATTAGAAGACAAACAGCCAGAACCATGTCGTGTTCCTCAGTGTATAAGGCTTTGCTGGCCAAAAAGCCCCTAAACCTTAATCTAACCCGTGCCGTGGAACAGAAACAAGTAGTGCCAGGGGCAAGGAAAACCTCAACACCACCGGGAACCGGGAGCCAGCAGCCAGCAGCCATGTGGCCACGGGGCTGGCGGGAACGTGGCGGAGGTTCAAACAGACTCCCACAGAGATGCTTCTGAGCTCTCTGGAAGAACGGGGAGCAGGGCTGGCGTTCGGGCCACGGGGTTATTGCTAATGTCACTGGGGGAGGTGGGGCATGGAGGTGGGCTACCTGCATACACCGACCATGCCGGGGAAGTTCCAGGCTGGGGAGAGGAGAGAAAACACGGAGACCAGACTTAACAGTTCTTGAAGGCGGAGATGAGCAGCAGGTGGGGGCACACATCACTCCTCCTGTCCTAGTCTACTTCTTTGAAAGTTTTTACAATAAAAAGTTTGAAATACACCGTGTATTTTTTGGTAAATTCCCTTCATCTGTTTTAAGGCTGGCTCCCTTCACTGCTGGTTATTATTACTCAGTCCCAAATTGCATCTCACGCTTTCTCTGCATCTATGAGACGATCCCACCCTGCGGGGCCACAGCACACTGGGCTGACTCTGCTGGCCACAGACTGCCTCTACATCACTCATGATTTCTGCAGGCAGGTCCTCAAGGGACACTGACCCAGAAATAACCCTCCTCTCTCCTGCCTCTTCATCCCACGCTCCACGAGCACATCACCCCACAGTGAGCTTTACTGGTAATCCCCAGAGCCAACAGCACACCAACCAAAGCAATGACCAAGCTAGGACCCAACCCTCTGGCCCCAATTTTACTGCAGAACAGAGACCACCACCCAGCAAGTGGCTGGCAGCCTGCAGGGTCACTTTCAATGGACAGAGGTCATCCTGAAGGAAGGAAGCACCCCAGAGAGAAGTGGCCTTACTCACCTTGGACCATTCCACGATACAGTCCAGACAGAAATAATGGACACAGTTCTCAGGTGTCCCCACAGCCTGGTCCCGGAAAGTATTGAGACAAATCGGGCAGCTCTCGGCATCATCATCAGAATTAAATGCACTGTTGTCTTCCAGCTTCCCCTGAGTGTCCACCACAGCCACTAACGCCTCCATGTCCTCTTCTCCTCTTCCTCCTTCTTCAGAATCTTCGGACCCTTGAGAAAGAAGAAACACCACTTTGTGAGCTGGAGCACCAGGAGCAGGCTACAGCTGCTCTCAGGAAGGCGCACTTCCAAATCCACACTCAAGAGACAGACCCCCTTCCTGCAGCCCTGCCAGGTGTGACCATCCCTGGGCACCTCACCAGAAGCAGCTCCCAAGCTAAGAGGACGGGGCACTGGCCGAGGGGGCCATGCCAGCTCTGCAAGCCCCCATCTCGATGAGGGCACAATCAGAACCTTCACCACCAGAGCAGCTCCCAGGGGCCCGCCCCTAAAAACTGCCCCTGCTCGACCAGCAGCCTCCAAATGGTGGCAACACACCCCAGAACCGTCTCAAAGCAGATGGCGTTAACAAATTATCTGCCTCCAGCTGACACCTTCCTTACAGGTGTTGTTCTCTCCTAGGAGATGGAGGGACCACAGAGTCCTAACTAGGCAGTTTGGCTACAACAGTTCTGATCAATCTGTGAGAGGCTTTGGGGCTGGGGCTTGACCAGCAGAAAGGGAGACGCTTTCAGCTCAACACAGCAGTCGACATATGTGTTTCGTTTTCCCTCCCACGAGTTCACCTGCACCAGCGGTGTGGCAGGCAAGGTCCTCACACAGCCCAGGACTCAACCATACCCAATCCCTTCAGGGGAGTACAGAGCCAGTGCCTCAATGGGCTGTCATCACCTAGTCCCTGTGGCAGCCGCTGCGAGGCAGAGGGAAGTAATCCCTGGCGGCTCAACCTAATCAGGTGAATCCTTCAGAAGCCGTTCTCCCCGGCGGGTCACAGAGCAACGTGCTCCTGCAGGTGTGGAAGCGATCAGCTGTGAACTGCTGCTGACCAAGGGGCCAGCCTCCGCGAGCGGAGACCCCAGCCGACGGCCAGCCAGGGGTCAGGACTTCAGCCCTACTCCCTCGAGGACCTCAACTCTGCCAACCAGCCGACCTTGGAGGATGACCCTGAGCCTCGGATGGGAACCGTGGCCCGGGGACTCCTGAGGTCAGCAGCTGAGACCTGAGCAAAGGACCAGCAACCACACCGGGGCTGCTGAGCCTGGAACCCCGGAGACGGTCAGCACACCATCCTGGGCAGCCAGAGAAAAACAACTAATGAAACTGGTACGCAAACATTTTGGAAAAGGGCAGGTGGGAAGCTACAGAGAATGGGCTTCTCTCAGCTTCCCCACTTCACTAAGGGTCAAGTGAGCACAAGTACGTTGAAACCAGATGATCACTCTTCCCACGGAATTCTGAAAGGCAGAATTGGCCATCTGAGGGCCCCGTGGCCCCTGCACAGAGTCTGGGCACATGGAGCAACGTCTCCGAAGCCTCTGAGGGATGGCGACCAGCAATGACGAGGGTGCTAAAGATCTGTGTGGGCGCACGAGGCGGAGCCATCTACCCCCACCCACCCTCTCTCAGGGGCTGCCGGGGATGGCCCCAGCTCGACAAGGGGTCACACCGAGGAAGGTGCAGGGAAGTGTGCAGGCCTGGCCTGGCAGCGGGCTTGAAAACCCCAGTGTGGACAAGTGCAGGGTCCCCAAGAACACAGCCCAGGCTGGAGCCAGAAATGGGGGTGCCACGGAGCTGCGCCCTCAGCAGGCCACAGTGACTCATGGTCCCATAGCCATCACAGCTCCCTGTGGAGCACGTGCGGCCTGGGGAGCTGGTGAGACTACAGATCAGAGGCCTGAGTTCTCAGTTTTTGTGTTAAGCCTTAAGAACATTATATATATATATATATATATATTTTAATAAATTTATTTTATTTTTTTAAATTTTTATTTATGATAGTCACAGAGAGAGAGAGAGAGAGAGAGAGAGAGAGAGAGAGAGAGAGGCAGAGACACAGGCAGAGGGAGAAGCAGGCTCCATGCACCGGGAGCCCGATGTGGGACTCGATCCCGGGTCTCCAGGATCGCGCCCTGGGCCAAAGGCAGGCGCTAAACCGCTGCTCCACCCAGGGATCCCTATATTTTTAAGATTTATTAATTTTAGGGGCGCCTGGATGGCCCAATCAGTAAAGCATCTGCATTCAGCTCAAGTCATAATCTAAAGGTCGTGAGGTTGAGCCCTGCATCAGGCTCCCTGGTCAGTGGGGAGTATGCTTCTCCTTTTCCCTGACTGTCCTCTGTCAAATAAATAAATAAAATCTTTTTTAAAAATTTATTTATTTTAAAGAGAGAACGTGTGTGTGCAATGCATGTGTGTGCAAGCAGGGGGAGGGGCAGAGAGAGGGGGAGAGAATCTTAAGCAGACTCCCTGCTGAGCACAGATACACACACACACACACACACACACACACACCCCACCACGCATGGCCTGAGCTGAAATCAAGAGTCGGACGCTCATCCAACTGAGCCACCCAGGCGCCCCTTAAGCAGAGAATACTTAAAGCTGGAAACTTTAAGCGCCTGCCCTTGGCTCAGATCATGGTCCTGGGGTCCTGGGGTCAGGCTCCCTGCTCAGGGGAGAATCTGCTTCTCCCTCTCCTTCTGCCTCCCTCCCGCTCACACTCTACCTCAAATAAATAAAATCTTGAGGGAAAAAAAAAAAAAGAGTTGGAAACTCCACAAAGCAATGAAGCAAGTGATTTTCAGGGATATAAATATTAGGGCAAGAAGAGCAACAAGCATAAGGAGCCACTCTGGAAAGGGCCAGCCCACTGGGATACAGGAAACGCCCTTCTCAAGGTCTGATGACACTTCCCACTTGCTAAGGAGTCAGTCACATCTCTCATTCCAAAGGCTGGGGCTGGAGGAACAAAGGGCACTGGCCTGCCAGCCAGGACCAGGGCCTCAGGGCCCTCCCTCCCCATAGCACCTGCAGGCCCTGCACCCGCCCCTCCCTCCCTCCTGGGCACTGAGCTCTGTGCCACATGGCCCTGCACAGCAGCACTCTGTCCACTACTGCCCGGCCACCTCCTGCCATCCTTCACATCACAGGTCAGACGGGTCTCTCTGGAAGCTTCTCACCACTCCAGGTGCACAGAACCCCTCTTCTGGCAATGCCCCTGCACACCCACCCTTGGCATTTATCACCCTTGTAACTGCTGCTTCATGCCACCGTCTTTGCCGCTAAGAGCTGAACTGGCTTCTGCACTCTGTCCCGGCCCCACCCAGATTCTCTGGCACCCAGCAGCTCTTTAAACCCTTGCTCAAGGGATGAACCAACATCTTCTGCCTTCAGCCCTGCCGATGCTATGCCCAAGACCTGCCGCAGGTAAGCCCAATGTCCTAACTCAATCCTGGGGGGACTAGCACAAGAACCGTATTTGTGACCAGCAAACTCAGGACAGAGTTCATGTCCTTGTGTACAGGATTCACAAGTATGTCACCAATACACACAAAGTTGCAAACTCACACTGGCTCATGCTACTGCAGTCCCACACATAGGGAGCTACCCTTCTGTTAACATTCTAACAAGGATAACCACAGAACCTGAGATCCACAGGTCATGGTATCTGCTTTAGAACCATGCTTCTCCGGCTTGCTGACTACGCCAGAAGCAAAGTAGCAGTGTGCCAACCCCACAACATCCAGCATTCTATGAGCAGAGCCCAGGGTGCCCTCCCTCCGAGGAAGGCGAGCACAGCTGGCCTCAGATAGGGTGGCCCAGACTGGGCACCGTGTAGGCCATGCACCAGCCAGGGTGGCCAGGAGGTGGTGTGAACCCAACCAGAGTCCCTTAAGGCAATGTTCCCTGTGCAGAAATTCAAGGGCATGAGTGTCAACCAGTGTAAACGTGCAGGGAATTCCTTAATAAAGTCATTCCCTGCATTTGCCAGGTATCTGAGGGGCTCTTGTCAGAGGAGTGAGAGTAAGCCCAGAATGGCTCCACCAACCTGGCCTGTGAAGAGTCCTGGCCAGGCAGCCTTGGGCCACAGCAAACCTGTGCTCATGCTAGACCTTCCCTGGACCCAGGTGGGTCGGGGAGCACAGGTCACCAAAAGCCGTCTATTCCTTATGCCAGAAAATCCACTCTGCCGTGCTCACCCTGCGAAGACCTTGGTTATGTGGCTCCACTTTAATGAAGTTGTGCTGTCACACAGAACTCTGAAACAAAGGATCACATCGACAGCAAGCCGCTGCCCCAGTGGGAGGTGAGGGCTCACAGCAGGGGACTGCCAGGGGAGGCCTGCTCCCCCGTTCCTCACAGCCCTCAGCTGGCCAGTGTGCTCAAGGCATCAACTCCACCAACAACGTTTTGTAAAACCTCGGGCTCCCTGTCACAGCGAGAGAAAGTATCAGGAGGCCGCCCAAATGTCGGCCTTCTCACCAGACTGGTCCTCTCCATCGGTGCTGTAGCTGCGCTCACTGCCCGTGTCATCCTCAGAGACCTCGCTGGTGCCATCACTGCTTTCTTCTAAAGTAAAGAGGTGAAAACACAGGCCCTGAGAAAAGGTTACAACCAAGGCAGCAAAGAGCTAGGGCTGGTTCACAGATGTGCCTGCCAGAGGCACTATGAGTGGCTGTCCACGTGGGAACAGGTGTAGGAAAAGCACCTCCCTTTGTCTGTTTACATCTTACTACTTAGATGAATAAGATAAATACATGTACCACTCGCACAATTAGAAGCAAAGAATAACTTTTCTAAAAAGATTAACAGCTGAAAGTCAACACCCGTAGATGACTCTTTTGGGAACTCTGGGGGCAGCCTGGGGGGCTCAGCAGCTTGGCGCCACTAAGGTCCAGGGTGTGGTCCTGGAGACCCAGGATGGAGTCCCACCTTGGGCTCCCTGCAGGGAGCCTGCTTCTCCCTCTGCCTGTGTCTCTGCTTTTCTCTTTGTCTCTCTCATGAATAAATAAATAAAGTCTTAAAAAAAAAAAAAGGGAACTCTGCTTTTCCTAGAGCCAACAACCTGGAGAAAACACGAGGTGGCCCTGCTGCTTCTGAGAGGTGCCAGCCGCAAGCCCATGCTCCCCCAGCTCTGTGTGGAAGGAGTGGGAGGCTGGCTCACCAGCATTGCTGGCCAGGGCAGCAGGGCTGAGTCGACGATGTCCATCTGGCCCTGGGCTTCGGTCCACAAGCTCATCCAAGCTGTCGTCATCCATCACTGGACATTGGCGTTCGGCTCTGAAACAAACCAGAGTCAAAAAGTTCCCGTCCCCAGATGCAGCGCTCTCCTGAAAGCCCGACAGTCACTCGCTACACACCGCGACCGGGTGACGTGTGCCTCTCTAGGACAGGGAGGCCAAGCCAGGAGACAGAAGACAAAGCAATTCGAACCACAAAACTGTGCCTACAGAGAAAAAAAAAGACACTGATTCCCATCTATAGAGTGACGTTCAAAGTGAAATACCAACTTATAACAAACACGATTTAGCTCCGGTCCGGTCAGGTACCTATAGCACCTCAGCGCTCCTAAGGGATCCCGACACTAGGGTGAATGAAACGGCTTATCCTGAGCTGCGGCAAAGCAGGGCTTTCAATGTAGCGGGGCCAAGTCTGAGGTCAGAGGAGAGGGGTCACACTAAAGACCAGAAGGCAGAGAGGCAAGGCAAGGGCCGGGGAAGGTGGGTCCAGCCAGGTAAGGCTCTCGTCGTGGATCCCACAGGCAGGCTTCTTCTAGGATGATGTTTCCTAAAATAGCGAGGGCATGTTAATCTGAGGAAACTATCAACTTCCTCATATCGTTTGTACCTGGAAATAGCATACTACGAGGTGCTTTTGTACAATTACCAACCCCTTAAAGCTTCCACTTTTCTTCTACTTAGTGTTTGACGGTTAAGAAAAAGAGCCACGGTCCCACTCAACTAAGGGTGAGCACACTGTTTGGTGGCTCAGCAACACTGCGGGACCCAGGCATCCTGCTGGAGGTGTACAGACCACAGGGCAGGACAGCGCCACAGCCCTTCCAGGTGTCACCACCATTCCCACAACTGGACTCCACACAGTGGTACTTGGACACCTGCTCCAATACCTAACCAGGCCCGTAAGTGTGAGCACCTTTCCTGCCCTACAACAGAGGTGAATATAGTTGGCCCTTGAAAAACACAGGTTTGAACTGCACAAACCCACTCAGATCCACTCTGTGCATATTTTTTGGATGAGTACAGTTACTATATGTGTGTTTTCCTTCCTTTCAATTTTCTTCGTAGCATATTCCCCTCTAGCTTACTTTGTTAGGATACGCTACATAACCACACAAAACACGCGTTTATCAACTGTCTGTGTTATCAGTGAGGCTTCTGCTCAACAGTACACCATCATCGAAAGATCTACTCAGATTTTCCACTGCATGGTGATCAGCAGCCCTAAATCCCGGTATTGCTCAAGGGTTGACAGTACTAACACACGAAAACCTACCAGAGACACTTCAGACACCAGAAAACGTGACCCCCTGAGGCCACCCAAGAGAGGACAGAGCACAGCCGAGGGTGGTTTCTAGGGTGCAGATCCTTACCTTGATAATGTGTTACACAAGCACAAGGTCAAAACTATGAACGAACAGCCCCTGGCTTCTCCCCTAGTGCACTAAGATCTAGGTCCACCCGGGACGGCCAGTGGCAGGACCTGCCTCAGAGGGCTACCTGAAAAAGTCAACAAGACCACGGTGAGGTCTGGCACAACAGGGGCTTGCCAGAAATACCAGCCCCCGAGTCCCTGCACCTGTGGGGTTAGGTCCCGTGGGCCCGGTGCTCCTCTACCACAGCTTGTGAGGGCAGCAGTAGAGTGTCAACTAGGAAGCTGTCACTATCCGTCCCTCCATCACCACATGACAGGGAACCCCTGGCCAAGATCCCAGGTAGCCTCTGAAAGTATTTCCCAGAGCAAACACCTGTGCAAACACCGAGGAAGACTAGAGACCCCACGACTAGAGACCCCCCAGCAGCCCTTTCCCTGTCTGGATGTCTGCAGTCAGAACTGTGTTAACCGGGACCCCAGCCTAGGACCTACTGGCCCCACCTGCAGCTCAGCTCAGACGTGCCTGCCCACATCCACCATCCCCGCCTCCACCGACATGTTCCAGACCACAGGCCAGTGCTGGTGGTGCTCTGTGGCTCTCCCGCTCTACCTCCAGATTCAGGGGGGTTTAGAGGAAATAATTAAACCTCCAAATGCAATAACCCAAAGCACCTATGACTCCAACCGTTACTAAGGAAGCATAAAGGACTTCTGGTGGTAACTGGCACCTGGGCCAGGTCCAGCAGGTCACACTCAGCCAGGACCGTCGTCCAGTACTGGCGGTCTGCCCACACGGAGGGAGACCTAGAAACTGTGAACTGCAATAGGAGTGAAGAAGTCAGGCCGTCAAGGTCTACACGGGGCTGACCCGGCCAGCGAGAGTCCAGGCTGGGCGGCTGCGGAGAGGCCCCCAGCCACCCGCCTGGCACGAAGAACGCACTGGAAGGTGCCAGGCACTTCCTCCGACTCCAAGGCAGACCGCCGCGGTCCCGGGAGGCCTCAACCGCAGCCAGGGGCTTGGCGGGACCCCCGGCCGGGCGGAGGCTCGCGCACGGGTTAGCACCTGCTCCCTAGAACGGCAGGTGCTACAGCCCCCTAAGCCGCAAGCTGAGGCACGAGCGCCGCTGCAAACAGCGCGGAGCAGGAGTCCGGGCTCCGACGGGCCCCGTGCAGGACAGAAGGGCAGTACCTCCTCCCGGGCGTGCTGTGAGGACGGCGGGAGCTAGCAGCAAAGCATCCCGCGAACGCTCGGCCGCCGGGACCGCCGGGACCGCGACGAGGCCGCTGCGAGCAGGGACGACCAGGAGCTGGAAACGAGTGGGCACACGGTCACACGCCGCCCACCCCGGGGAGGGCGACAGCCCGGGCGGCGGCCCGAGGGGCCCCACCGCCCGCCCGGGGCCCGCCCGCCCCGCCCCCCGCCGCCCGGGGCCCGCCCTCCCCGCCCCCCCGCCCGCCGCCCGCCCGGAGCCAGCGCAGCGCAGGCCTCGCCCCGCGGGGCAGGCCGCAGACAAAGCGCGCGGCGCTCGGGGACTGCCCTCGCGGCCGGGACCCCGAGACCGCCGCGGGCCCCGCACGTACCCGAGAGTCTGGCGTCCCTCCAGCACACCCCCGGAGCCGGCCGCCGCCGCCCGAGCACCCGCCTCGACTAGGCCGCCGCCGCCACCGCCGCCGCCGCCGCGCGCTCCCCGACCCGGAAGTGCACGGACCCGGCTTCCGGGGCCCTCCCGCCCCGCCCCGCTCGTAAGCGGGAACCACTGGGCCGGGGGGGGGGGAGACGAGCCTGAAGTGGCGGAGGACGCCCTCGCCGCGGCCGGGGGCCTCCAGACCTCGAAGGCACCGCCCGAGGCCGCCCGCCGCCAGGGAAGACCAGCGTCCGGAGCAACTCGTGGTGTCTGGGCCCCCGCCTGTAGGCTGCTCCGCGTCGGCCTCCCCCGCCGGGAATGATACAGTCCGGGCCCCGCCCCCCGCCCGGGCCGAATGGAAGCGGCCGTCCACCGCCCCTGAGACCCCGCCCCCGGACACGCCCCCACATGGAGGCCCCGCCCTCCCGCTGTTGGCCACGCCCCCAGCCCCGCGGGGCCCGCCGCTCCGCCGCCGCGGCTTCCACCAGGTGCAGGGCACCGCCTGGGGGGACCCCAGCCCCCGTCCCGTCGGGTCCAGACGCGGGAAAGCACCGGCGCCGCCCGGCACCGCCCCGCGCGCGGTTGTGAGCAGCCGACTGGCGCTGCGGGGTAGGATCCGGGCTCGAGGAGCCTCGGGCAGGCCCGGCCAGTGTTACTCCGGGGATGAGGGTGCACCGGGCGAGCTCCTGGGGGCCCCACCTGGGAAGGAGGCCAGGCCCGGGGGGCGGGGCAGGGCGGACCCGGCGGGGCTGGGGCTCAGGTGCAGGAAGATTCTGAAGAGAGGGGATTTGCTGAGAGATGTGCGGAGTAGACCCAGGGGAGCCTGGGAGAGGGGCATCCGGAAGCCAGGCGAGGACGACAGCACCAGGCGAGGACGACAGCAGCCGGGCCCTGGATGCAGTGAGGCGGGGTCCCTGACACCCAGCGCAGCAGCCCGGGGGTGGGGGGAGAGTAGCCAGCGCCCCAACTCTTGCAAGTGGCTCTGCTGCGACAGGAAGGAAGAGCGGGGCCCGCCAAGGGAGGGCTGCGTTTTCTGCTCCACCGGAGAAATAACTGCTAGTTCAGACTCTGAAACGGACTCTGACAAAAGGGACAATGGAAGATGTCAGAGATGCGGAAGACCCTGGAGCAAATCGTCTCCACGGGCCACAGGGTTGGGGTCTGGAGAGGGGTGGCCCTGGGTGTCCCCCAGGCCAGGTGCTTGAACCAGTGTATCAGTCGTGTACCCATAAGCAAGCAGAGCTTCTGGACCTCTCTGTGCCTCCCCTTCCTTGGCTGTAAAACAGGGAGGTCGAGGGCTGGCTGGATGAGGATTGGGGTCCAGCACAGGTACTGCGACTACCCTGTGCCAGGCACCTCCCCCTTCCTCTCTGCCTGGAGCTTAGCTAGTGCTGGCCCTACCTGCTGAAGACCATTGGACAGAAGGATGCACCCCGCAGAGGTTTCCACATGGCATATTGGGGCACCTCCTCCTGCAAAGGAGTTGGGCTATCACCTTGTAGCCAACTTGGAGTCCCCCTGGAGAGGGGCAGCCCTTCCTACCTTCACCCGCGGTTCTTCCTGGGGGCTCCTGGAAAATTATCATAATAAACACATGCACCCACGATGACATGTAGAGAAACTCAGCAGGCATCCTCGGGCAGCGCACAGCCTACCCAGCCACGTCAGCCTGTGCTCAGATGTGAGATGTGCCCCAGGGAACTTCCCAGAGCCATTGGTCTGGGCCCAAATTGAACATGGGTGGTACCCCTTGAGAGCATAGGCACATACCTATACCTCCCAAGTAGCGATGCCCCCTCACAGGCATCTGGGTACCCTCGTTGTGTACATGCATCGGTACGGCAACGTCCTCTGCACACTGACTAGCCACTCCCCTGCTCCTCTCATGTGCTCCTTCCAAGCCCTGCCCCCTGTGCCTCGCAGACCCGCTCTCTGCACCCCTGGCTGGGTGTGCGGTGTGTGCTAGTACGCCCTGTCCCGCCCCTGCAGGGCACAGGCAGGAACACGCAGGGATGCACACTTCCGTCCTGTACAGGAGGGGGACACATGGCTGGGGGCTACTTTGGTTCTGTCCAGTCCGGGCCGGGGCTTTCCCCTGCCGTCAGGCCTGCCCGCAAATACAGGGCCAGAGCCAGGGGAGGAGACAGGTACAGCCATGTTCCCTGACTTAGGAAGGGGGGCATACTAGTGTCCCAGGCCTGCCCTAAAAAATGACCACCAGCTGGGTAACTTAATACAGCAGCCCCGGAAGTCACAAATCCAGAACCCAAGGCAGCTGTGCTCCCTTAGAAATCTGCAGGAAATCCTTTCTTGCTTCTGGCTTTTGGTGTTCCAGGCTTCCTTGGCTTGTGGCCACATCATCCCAGACTTTGCCTGTCTTCAGGCAGCCTTACTTCCTGTGTGTCTGTATCTCTCATTTATCTCATATAAGTGCATTTGTCATTGGATTTAGGGCACACCCAGGGAAACCTGGATTCCTCAGAACCCTACCTCAGAACCCTTAATTATAGCTGCAGAGACCCTTTTTCCAAATAAGGTAGCATTCACATGGTCTAGGCATTAGGATACAGACATTTTTTCGAGGGGGCACTATTCAACCCACCCCAGAGGGTGGTAAGGGGTGCATCTGGAAGCAGCAGGACTTGGGGCCACAGCTGGAGAGTGTCCAAGACAGGAAAGGCAAGACAGGAACTCAGTCACCTGACTTCTGGTTTTGCTGTGACCCTGAATCCCACACTTCTTTCCTCCAAACCTCTACCCTGCCTCCGCAGGGATCCTGCAGATTCCGAGGGGTTCCTTCCAACCACATGATCCAAGCTTTGCTGACCCCTCCACTTCTGACCCCCGGTACAACCGAGCCACCTCCTGGGGCCTCTGTGCTCTTCCTCCACCCACAGGTGACCACATCCACAGCATCCTGTCCTCGAATTTCTATCCCTGGGCTCTGGGCTGCTGACATCCAGGGCAAGGCCCACACGTCCCTGGAACCTCAGCACTTAGCCACTCAAGCAGCGCTTTCAAAGGAAGAAATAACGTGGCCATGATGATGGGGGGGGGGGCGCAGGAGGGTCTGTCCTGGGTTTGGGGCATCTGCTGGGCTCCAGCACATGTGGGACGCAGGGACGTGGCTGGAGGAACGCAGAGCCAGGAACACATGGTGTAGAGGGCGGGGTGGGGGGGTGGTTACAGGAGGACCCCCAGGGACCAGAGGGCTGAGGCTGAGGAGCACGGCGGCCCGGGGCAGTGAAGGCCCGGAGTCGGGTTCTCCAGGGAGGCCGGGGGTCTGACACCTGCGGCACCCGGAGGGAGGGAGGGAGGGTGGGAGGCTCCGGCTTCCTGGGCAGGGGCACAGAGGGCTTAGGAGGACTCCTGCAGCAGGAACAAAAGGGGAGCAAGCATCTCTGCAGCCCGTTGGACTCCGCCCGGGGGTCCCCTCGGCCACGGAGGCGGGAGGGGCCGTGCAGGCGCGGGCGGCAGGGCCAAGCCTCCCCGGCCCACCCAGGGCGCAGGGCCCCAGGTCTGAAGCAGTCCTTCCTCCGGCCTCACACTTTTTCCAAGCCTAGACAGGACGGGCCGGAGCGCGGGGGTGCAGCGCCGCGGGCCCTGTGGACTCGGCGCCCTCCAGGCCGACGCGCCCCGCCCGAGGGCCCCGGAGCCGCCGCCGCAGCCCCGCGCTCCATGTGCGTCCCGAGGGCGCGGCGGGCTACGTGCGCCCGAGCCCCTCGCGTCCCGGAGCTACCGGCCGGCCTCGAGGGCGGTGGGGCGGGAGCGCCTCGGGCCGTACCACCCGCCCGGGCCGCGGGGGAGCCGCCCGCACGGCCGCAGCCCGGCGCCGGCAGGCCCCGCCCGGCAGGTGGCGGCCCCGCCCCGAGGCCGACGTGCGGAAAGGAACGCGCCGGCCGCGCCCGCGAGGGGCCGCGCGGCGGTGGGCGTGGCGCCCCGCCCCCTCCTCGCGCCCACTGGCTGGGGAGCAGCGGGGCGGGCCCGGCCCGACCGGCCATTGGCTGCGAGAGCCGCACATTTGCATATGGGCGGGGCGCCGGGGGCGGGCGGGCGCCGGGCGCGGAGCGGGCGGGGGGCGCGCGGGGGCGCCGGGGGGCCCGCTGCCGCCGCCGGATTTGGGCTGAGCGCCGGCGACGGCCCCGCTCCGCGGCTGCAGGTGACGCGCGAGGGGTCCCGGGCCGGCGGGCGGGGGCTCGGACGCACAAGTTGGAGGGGAAGGAGGGGTCGGGGGTGGGGGCCGGCTCCTCCGTCCACCCGGGGTCCCTCCAGGCGCAGGGCAGCCACTGCCCACCGCACACTGCGCTGCTCTGGACCCACTGTGCGTGTGACAGCGGCTGATCTGTCCCTGGGCAGCGCGACCGCCTCGGCCCCCCTGGGACCCTGCTCTGTCGGGCCGGGACAGCCAGCCCAGGTGGGAGGGCGAGCGCCCAGGCGGGCAGAGGCCAGGGCGCCCCCGAGGCCCGGTCCGCCCGGCTGCGCTCAGCAGGGGTGGGGAGGAAGGGGTAGCCTCGTGGGGCTGCGCAGCCCTCCACTCGCGGGGCTCACGTTGCGCCAG